CATATGTCACAACCCGTAGACGCGAGATCGTCACAGATCTTGCTACGAATTCAAAAGTGGTCAGGTCGAACTCAGTAAATCCATCTTGAAGTTTTTCGCTTACTCTAAGTTACAACAAAATCAATGACATAAATCCGTTTCAACGTTTTACGTGCTATAATTCAAACACTATGCAAAAGTGCCTTGTCTTTCTGGAAGACCAATCGGATTACTTCCAATCGAAGGGCTGTATCAAATGTACGGAGAAAGCGACGACCTGTTGCGCATCAATATCATCCAAAAGCACATACAATACAACTGCGCTGGCAAATCTGCAAAATGATCCAAGAGCAAAAAATCCCTTGTAAGCCATCATGCGGCTGACATGATGAAAGAAGACAGGTAACATGACCGGTTAAACGCGGAACAAGTATCATCGGGTATCAGCAAGTATGCTTCGAACAAAACCCAACGCCCAGCGTTGGAAGAAATGTCAAGGCTAGAAGACGTTGCATAAAGGTTATGACCTTCTGGTATGTATTTATGGAAAAAAACTCCACGAAGATACGTAATTTATAATTACCGTTATTAATCTCAATTTACTGGCATTTGTCTTACGTGGCGGAAGTTGACGATACACACGGCAACAGAGCGCAAACCGGCGCTTGAAACAAGACGCGTTCAGTAGGTTCTTTCCTCACAACCTGTTCTCTGGTACGGTTAGGAATGTAGCGTTGCATCGGGCGGAAGTTGACATGCATTTCTTGATCCATCAACCGAAGTGGACACTATGAAAACTTCGACAACCGCACTACAGGGGTACGGTCGCCATTGCAGACGGTACGTCACGTCATTCACGTATTCGAACATTCGCAAAAATACATCATAACAAGCCTGTGCGGAACTTCCTCGAAACGTCACACTTCACACATGAACGCCAAGAAGCAAAAATTCACTTGAACTTGACCAGGTGATGCTGAAATTTCGGATTAAAGGAAGGGAAAGGGATAAGACCAAACGGACCAATGAACAACTCCGCTACACAACGGTATTTGAGCATTTACGAAAAGAATCTCTGTTCCGCCATGAACGGTATTTTATGAGCCGCTACCCGTCCGTCATGTGCTCATTGAAACGCAATTGCGAGCTCATCGTCAGTGTTTAGCAGGGTAAAGAAATATGAGCATGCGAAGTCAAGATAGTGCGCTGAATCCAACTGTCTTTCGAGACCAGATAAACAGTCACCACAGCTGAAGCAATTTCGCTTTGCTCAATCATTTTTGTGCGCATGTGAAAGCCAACCGAAGAAACGGAACTAGTGATGCGCATGAATGGAACAACGACGTCTGATCGAACTGTATCTGCCTGAAAATCAAGCTGATCCATTCATGCGCGCCACCAATTAAGTGACAAGATCAAGTGACCGATCCCACAGTCATATCGATATGCACAACGATTATTACGATTATTGTCCACATTGTCCGTAACAGATCAAAACTGCTACGGGACACGAACACGGGACGGACGACATGTAATATTTATGAACGAAGTGGGAAGTTGCGAAAATGAGGCAAAAGTGCCTTTAGAGAAAGCCAAAA